GGGCACAGCCCGGGGCACAGCTCTGAGCACAGCTCTGGGCACAGCTCGGGGCACAGCTCTGCCCCATGGCCTCTATGAGCAGAGGTGTCACAACCAGCATGAGTAAGACTGGACTACCAGGAAACCACCTCCCACAGCCCTCATTTCGAGACTGAGCCTTTCAAACACGCAAAACACATCCCCCCCTCTCAGAACAGCCCTCACTCACCATCTCACAAGGAGCAAAGTGCACATCATCGATTTAATACATGTGTTTAACCAGTTTAGAAGTGAAAAAACAGTTAAAAGAGGCTATTAGTATCAAGTGTCATTCTCTTCTAAGAAGAATTCAAGACGGGAAATAAAAAAACTGCACAAGCCAACTATGGGTCTGTAAAGACAAAGCAGCCTGTACTCTAATCTAGTTATGTTTTACAGGAGCAAACAAGCCCTTTGCTGATCTTCACTTAGGGTTTACTTCTCACCTGGCCTCCCCTACCCTTCTGGCCCACAGCAGGAGCCTGGGATGTCAGAATTTACTTAGAACTTCCCACAGATGACAAAACCTGCCTTCCCAAGTTGTTCAGGAGTAACTTTTTGTTCGTTTCTTTGACAAGGAATGTTGTGCCACCACTGCCTCGTTTCAGTGGCTGCTCACTGCCCTGGTCACTGCAGCTGCCAGGGCATTATGTGCAAACTTCCTGGCTCAGGGCAAACAGCAGGGAGCTCAGACACAGCTGCTGAGGGCTCAGTGCTTCAAATGCAATGCCCCACACATCACCTGGGAGCCTGAGCAGTGCTGGAAATCCGGTGGAAATCTTCACAAGTCAAAGGGAACCAAGCTGTGAGAGCCAATGTGATCCCTGGGGCTGCTCTCTGGGATCTCTGGGGCTGCTCTCTGGGATCCCTGGGGCTGCTCTCTGGGATCCCTGGTGCTATCTGCCCCGAGCACGCTGCCCAAAGCTGAGCTGCTGACACAGCAGCTGGGGAACCTTTCCAATCTGACCTTTCCAGATAAATCCTGTGCCCTTGCTCCCGAATCAGAGCCACCACCCATTCAGTAGCTCTTCAAAACTCTGATAAATAATCATTTTTCCCTTCTGAAAGATGAATTCCTTAGCAAGATATTCAGGTTTTGAAATTACCATATAATCATTCAAATGTAGTATAATTCATATTGAAACCCCACGAGTTTAGGCAGGAACTTTTCTCTCATTAAAACACAATAAAGCATACTGATACTTTTTAATTTATTTTAGAGAAAGGAATTTAGACTCCTTTTCCCCTCTCTCCTCTTTCTGGAAAATAGAAACCACCTAAGACTATAGCCAAAAACGTTTAACCACACATTTCCTTCTTTTCGATAAAGCCATGCTGGTTCCCTTTCAACTTCTGAACTTAGCAGAATAATTAATAAATTACTGCTCTGCCTGTGAGTACATGATCTGTTGTGGCACCTCAAAATCCAGCAAAGTGGTCTTTTAAAAAATTTCAGAATTGCCTGCTCTGAAAGTTGCCTCAAGACAGTCACGGTAGGAGATCAAAAGCAAAAACTGTGTTATTTCTCCCCCCCATTAATATTATACAATTACACAATTTGATTAGAAGTAGATAAAAGAACTTTTGTAACTGTTTCAAGGTTTTACTGTTAACCCCAGGTTAACTGCATTTATATATTTTTATAAGTCCTCCACACATCTCTGGGTGCTTTTCGTAATAATAGCTGGAAGTCAGTCCTGTAAAACTCCAGAGACAGACAAAAAGCACTAAAGAGCAGAGGGAAGGTTGGAAGTCAGGCAGTTAACAAGTTCATATTCAGGGGACAAATGTAATGCTACATAAAGAAACACCACTATAGGGACATACAAGAGGAAAAGATCAATCATACAGCTGCCTCCTTTCAGTACAGCCCAACCTATAAACCCGACGAGGTGTGGCCTTTCTGACACTGAGAAGAGACACTTGTGCAGCTGAGTGAAGAACTCATACACAAGTTCAAGGAGGAGAGTAAGTCCTCTCTCATTTTGCACCCTCATTTTCCACACACTGGCACGGCCAAAGCTGGTTTGTTAGACTGTGAGAGCCAAGTAAACTGTCATATACCAAAATATGCAATTTTTACTAGACTAGCAGCTGAATTTTTGCTCAGGTGGCTATTGTACAAATAATTTCATCTCAAATGACATCTTCCATTTCCAGCTTCTACTACAGATCAAAGTAGCATTAGAATTTTTAAATGAGAAAAGCAGACATGTTGCTTTGGAAGCAGCCTTTTAGTGTTAGAACAAATATTCTGCTTGCTGATTGAACAAGCAGCAAGAGTAAACACTCTTATCTCCTGACAGATTATCTGGACAGAGGACAAACAGCACCACAAACACACACAAACTTGAGAAGGTGCTGCATGAATAGGCTCAGTTGGGCTCTAAGTTGTCGAGCTGTGTTTGTGCTTTCTGGGAGTCCCAGCTGGCTTGTTCACAAAGACCTCTGTGCCACACCTTCAACATATAGTGTATCTCACCCTCCCTTTTGCACTCTTTCAACTAATCTGTTATTTCTTCTGATCTGCATTTAAATGAGCAACTCTCTCCTCCAACTCCAACTAACTGAGAGTTATCTGTTGTTAAAAACAGGCGGGGATGTGGCTCCTGTCACACAATTCATTCATATTTTAAAAACCAAGCCATTTAAGCAAAGGACAATTCTCAATGACTTTTTAAAAACTGCTTTATTTGAGTGCAAGATGAAAAACCTCGGTTTCACATCCTATTTTAGCCCTCTAGTAAATCCTTATCTCACAGCACCAGGGTATTTAACCGATGTGCTGGAGATAGGCTATCTGTGAGCTCCATCCACACATCCTGCAGTTACAGAGAGTGCTCCTGCTCCCCCCAGC